TTGTTGTTGTTGTTGTTGTTGTTGTTGTTGTTGTTGTTGTTGTTGTTGTTGTTGTTGTTGTTGTTGTTGTTGGTTGCTGTTGCTGTTGTTGTTGTTGTTGTTGTTGCTGTTGTTGTTGTTGTTGTTGTTGTTGTTGTTGTTGTTGTTGTTGTTGTTGTTGTTGTTGTTGTTGTTGTTGTTGTTGTTGTTGTTGTGAAACAGTTGCGCTGGTCGTTCGTAGTGCTAAATGAGCTCTGGAGTGTTTTCTTGTTGATGTATTTGGTAAACAAATCTGCACTGTTGTGAAGTGTGTTGATCTTAAGGATTCTGACGATGTCGTGTTTGATGAGGTCTTGTGTGTAGAGGAATTTGAGGTCGATGTGTCTTGCTCGTTTGCTTGTACTTTGTTGTGTAGCAATGCTCCTGCCTGCTGTGGAGTCTGTGTGAATGCGCAGGTTTAGCTTGCTGCAAATGTTGGTTTCGAGTACGAAGTTTCTGAGGTGTACTCCATCATTAACTCTTGTGCAAATTGCGTAGAGTTCAGATTCTGCTGAACTGAGTGCAATTGTAGCCTGTGTCCTGCTGCCAAACGCAACTGTTGTCCCCAGAAAGGTGCTGTTGAAGCCTGAAGTTGGTTTCCTGGTAGCAGGGCCTCCTGCCCAGTCAGCATCGACATGATCGAGATTCAGGATGTTGTTGGTGTTTGCTCTTTCTGTTGTTGTTGGTTCTATGGTGAATTTGTAGTGTTTGGCAGGTAGCGTAGTAGGTGCTTAACTCTCTTTTGCGAAAGTTCTGTAGGTGCTGTGAGGTCTCGCGCTAGTTCTTTTGTTGCGCAGGCGATGTCTGGTCTTGTGTATGCTAACCATTGAAGTTTACCAACAATTCTTCTGCACCTTTTGTGTTGTTCGTGGTCGAGTGGCGCTTGCTCCGGTATTGTCGGTTTGTGGTGGCCGATTCCTGGAGTGGTTATTGCGTTGCAGTTGGTCATTCCAGTGTCCTCGGTCATGTTGTCGATATAGGAGTCCTGAAGTCCAAGAGTGCAGTAATTGCCGAAGTGCTCAATGTGTTTTCCCAGGAATTGTTGCGGTTGACCAGGCTCGAGGTAGCCAGTGTGCTTGAGTCGTACCTGCTTCTGGATGGCCTCAAAGATGGAGTCGACAGTAGTAGACCATGATGTAGCGCGAGTCGCATTGGTGTAGACGTTGGGTTCTGAAAGCTGGGCTTTTGTAGTACTTCAGCCCGCTTTATGTTCTGTAGTGGACAAAGTTCTCTAGGTGGCCAAAGGTAGCGTTGTTTGCCGTCGTGGTCTTTTGCGATGGGTGCGCGCAGAAATGCCGTAGAGACGTCGCAAAGCCGCGCGATCCAGTTTGGCCATGACATTTGTAGAGCGAGAAGTGTCCGTAGCATCGCAAACATTGGTGTAGAGGCGTAGACGGAGTCTTTGTCCTCGATCTTCTCGGTGTAGTTTCTTGCGACGATTCTACTTCGTACGCCTGGTCCTGTCTTTCTGCGGACCCACCTTGTAGGAACTGCTTCTTTGGCGACGTTGTCATCGACTGTAGACGTATCTACTTCGTCGCAGACGTCATGTAGTTTCATTTAGTTTGATTCGTGTTTCATTCCTTCTAGTAGTTGTGCTTCGTCGTAACCTTCGTTATCGAAGATTATGGTTGGTCTTCTGAGGTGTCGTCGTTTGTGTAGGAAGTGATGGATGTTCCGTTGGAAAGCGTCACTGCGTTAATTTTCTCTCGTAGTGGTTGTGGTTCCTTGGTTGCTTGTTCCGTTGATCTGATTGTAGTGTTCCTTGGGGTCTTCTGCGCTTTGGTCGGTTGCATTACTTCTTCCGGAGTTATGCGTCGTAGTGTTTGTCGAGGTGCCGGTAGTGGTGGACGTTTGTCGTCCGGTTGGTGAAGTAGCCATGAACCTATCCGGTAGTGGTCGTGCACTTGACGCCGAGGTCGACGGAAGTTGTGGAGGACGTAGTGCATTGTAGTTTTGTTGCGGTTCCGAGACGATATCGTCCGTCACGTTCGTTTGTTGGTGTAGCTCGTCTCTCTGCTGACGATTGGGGTTGCGTGTTCAACAGTGTTGCGAATGACGGGTTGTAGGTGTTCCGTCGTGGCCCCAAGTTGTGTCGGAAACTTTGTTTAGTAGTGCGAAGTCGTATTTGAAGTCCGGCTGTAGTTTCTGTATTGTTCGTACTTTCAATACGCCTTGTTCTGTTGCAACATTTCTCCGGTTTCGGAAACTTTTCCGAACTATCTGCTTGCGGAAGTTTCTTGTGTTGTGGTGGAAGGTAAAGTAGTGTTTCGCCAAATTCGCAAACTGCTCGCTCGTAGCTTCTTCCCTAGCGGCGTTCGAAGCTTGTGTAACTGTCGGAGTGGATGACGTAGCGATTCACCGTCCACGCTGCATGTCGTGCTATGTGAGGTGGTAGACAGTGCTTTGCGGACATTGTCACGCTGTAGTTGCTTTCAACTTGTGCTTTGACAACGCGTATCTGTCCAAGAAGTGTTCGATGTAGTCGTTCAACGCTTCTTTGACTGTTATTGCTGTAGGAGGGCGCATGGTTTGTCCGGGACCATTGCCGCCACACACAGTTGTGTAGTAACATCAACTGCTGTTAAGACTGGTGTGGTCTTTGGGTCTTGTTGTGATTCGATGTAGGCAAAATCTACTTGAATAACGTTGTAGTAGTCCAGGATGACTGCGCTGATCTCGTTGTAGTTCGTGATCTGTCCAGCTCGCAGTTGGAGATGTTATTGCAGCGCTCCTTCGGTTTTGAGTAGAATTGAATCTTTACTTTATCTGGTAATGCTGCACCGTTGTCTTTCTAGCGGTTGATGTCGTATTCCGATTGTAGGATCTGTTCTTCAAATTGTGCTTCATTGAATTTAGGTTCTAGTAGTTTGGTAAGTAGCCAACGCTTCGTGTTCCTACTGGTAGGCTGAACCTGTTGTGTAAGAGATGTGGTGTTTCACATCCATTTACATTGTAGCGGTTTTGCCTTACTACTGTAACTGCTGCTCCCTGACACATGTTGATGAGGATGCAGTGTAGATCTCTGGTCTATTGCTTTGCGTGCTTGTGTAGGGTTAGGATCACGTATGGCATCCTCAATCTATCGCGTAGCTCCTTGTGCCAGTTGTAGCACCAGGTCGAAGTCTGGGTCTATGAGTCCGAAATACGCTCGTAGCTTGAACAGCCGTTCTTCATACTGGGACTAGTCACCAGTGAAGAAAGGTGGTGGCAGTTTGTGTTTGTGTAGTCTCTAAACGTCGCTGTCTTGTTCTGCTCGTAATCGTGGCTCTTACTGTTTCTGCTGTTGGCCCTTTCTCTGCTCCTGTAGTTTGTTGCGCTGAAGCTGATGCTACTTCTCCTGACATGTCGTAGTAGTTTGGCATGTGAGTGCTACTGCAGTTGTTGTAATACTTACTGCTAGATACTAGAGCTCCCTATGTTTAGGATCTCAACTCCGCTACCACGTTAAATTCTGACTACTGTTTACTACAAGTGCAAGTGTTGTATTGTTGCTAACACAAACAAACCTGTGGTCTGCGCAACTCCTGTTTTGCATGGGCTCTGGATGTATTAACAGGAGTTTAAGGCCTACGGTCATGCGCAAGCTATGTAGTACAACACCGCATGTACTTTGATATCTCTCTTTTTTTCTCTCTATCTCTCTCTATTTCTTACGCTAATTCACAATCTATCTTCTTTCTCTCTTTCAATCTAACTAACTATCTATATCTACCTCATCTTGATCTATCTATCTATCTATCTATGTATCTATCGATACATAGATAGATAGATACAGAAATAGATTCCTAGATAGATAGACATATAAATGGAGAAATAAATAGATAGATAGGTAAATTGAAGAGAAAGAGAAAGAGAGAGAGAGAGAGAGAGCGAAAGAGAAAGAGAAAGAGAAAGAGAAAAGAGAAAAGAGAAGCGAGAGAGAAAGGGAGAGAAAGGGAGAGATTTATTGGATGAGTGGATAGCTAGAAGATAAATGCAGAGGTAGAGGGATCTTGCAGAGAGAGGAGTAGATAATACATGGATAGATGGACAGATACAGACAGACAGACAGACGGACGGACAGACAGGCAGGCAGACAGACCGGCAGAAGGACAGACAGACAGACACAGAGACAGAGACAGAGACACAGAGACAGAGAGACAGAGAGACAGAGACAGAGAGAAAGAGAGACAGAGAGACAGAGAGACAGAGAGACAGAGAGGCAGAGAGACAGAGAGACAGAGAGACAGAGAGAAAGAGAGACAGAGAGACAGAGAGACAGAGAGACAGAGAGGCAGAGAGACAGAGAGACAGAGAGACAGAGAGACAGAGAGACAGAGAGACAGAGAGACACAGAGAGACAGAGAGACAGAGAGACAGAGAGACAGGGAGACAGGGAGACAGAGAGACAGAGAGACAGAGAGACAGAGAGACGGGCACACAGACACACAGACACACAGACACAGACACGGACACAGACAAACAAACAGAGAGATAGATGCACAAACAAATAATAGATACATCGATATAAAAATAGAAAGCATAACAAAAAGAAAAGAGACAACTGAATAAATAAATAGATAAATGAATAAATAAATACATAAAGAAAGAAAGAAAGAAAGAAAAAAGAAAGAAAGAAAGAAAGAAAGAAAGAAAGACAGAAAGAAAGAAAGAAAGAAAAGAGAAGAAAAGAGAAGAAAAGAGAAGAAACAAAGAAAACAAAAGAAAGAAAGAAAGAAAGAAAGAAAGAAACAAATAAACAAATAACAGAAAAGATAAGAAGAAAATGAAGAAGAAAACAAGAAGAAAGGGCGGAAAGAAAAGTCTCAATGGAAAGAAAGAAGGAAATCAAGAAGAATACCAGAACTATAGCTTGTATGTTGTAGGAACTTCGGACCGCCAGCATGGCCGGTTCTGTTAGAAATTCATATAACAAAAAACTCGTAGAACAAATGTGTATATATATATTATGCAATTGTATCTGAATTTATGATGATTTTGCTAGAAGCAGGAAATGTAATTCTCGGTGTGCTGTAACCGACATTTGGATGCTTCGATTCGGCCAAGCCTTCTTTCCCTCATGAATCTTCCAGTAGGAATCAGTTGGCATTCGATGCATGCTTGGGAAATGTGCCCAATTTGGGCATTCACGGCTTGCTTGAAACACTGGCGAAAGCACTGGAATTGCAACGACTCTGGCAACGGTTTGTACAAAGCAGGGATTGAAAACCTGCGCGAAAGTCCCAGAGTGTCAGCTGCGATTTCAGATTTCTGCGCATTTAGACAAGACGCGCCTTTGCATCACAACTCTTTTGGCTTCAAAGTGATGCTTGGCAGAAACAGTGCTTTTTGGAGGCATGACATAAAGCTTCCAGGGACCGGTTGGAGACAAAGCATCTACGCTACCTTGGGATGTGTAACTCCAGGAGGCAAAATCAGCCTGTCTGCACCCAGCAAGAACTTGCCCACCTGCGCAAAAGCCCGCTCACGAAACCCAACTCTGCTTGCACTGTGCGTGCCAACATGCATTGCAATCCAGGTTGTAGCTCGGTCCAGTAGACGTTGGCCTTGTACTCCATCTTCGCTTCTGGAGCCACCACGTAGGTGACACCCAACTTGTTGTCACAGAGCTCGCACGAAACCTCACCAGAAATCAACAGCTGCTGTACCGACTTTAAGTCAACCTGTGATCCAATATGCCCCAGATCTCTATTCGGAGCGAATCAATCCAAGGCACTTCCCGAATGACGTAGGACCCAGTTGTGTACATCACCGTCTGTGTTGCTTCGGAAGCCACAGTGTTTTGAGTGGCATCAATCAAGTAGCCTGGCCCTGTCCTCAGCAGAATCATCAGCAAAGTGAAGAACAAAACAAACCTACTAACCTACGCTCATTTGCAAAGCTGAGTCTGGAACATGGCTTGGTAATTCGAAGACAGAATGTCGGCGCCCCGGAAGATGCAAGTATTGCAGCCTTGCAGAAGTGTGCAACGCCTGTCTCTTGCTCACTCTTTGCTCTGGCAATCCGGAGCTGCTGAGCTTTGCACCACGACAACGATAGCCATGCTCCTCAACGGGTTCTTGTACTGGCGGCTCCTCCACTCTCTCTGTCGCCTGGCAGCTAGTGAAAGCTCTTCTGAATACAAAAGCTGTCCCTGTTCAAGCCCTTAAGAAGCATTAACAGGCCAAAACTGCAGCACCAGTCACGATCTCATTCTTTGCAGGCTCCTCGATCCGTGGTTCCTGCTGCTCGCTGGGAGGTTCCTTGCAACTGACAATGCGGTGCCAACAATGACATCTGTGCTGGGGCTGCGGCTGCGACAAGGAAATCATCTAACATCCACTGCGCGCTGCCCTCTGAAGATCCCTCCAGCGCCCAGTCCCAGGTCTGCGCACATGCCAAGAGGCTGACGCAACTCATTGAGATTGAGAAACATATCACAGCGTGCTCATTGCGAGAAGGGCCTCTGCTTCTGGGCCTTCTGGGCCTTCCTGCAGGTCAACAGCAATGAGACATAATGAGACGGCTGTTTTGTTGAAAGCAAAGGTGCAATTCATGAAGCCAAAACTATGCTAACTCGCTAGAATTGAGATAGGCTCTCAGCCTGGCAACTCGACAAGCTGCAATGCTAGTTCCAGTGACATGCCATTGTGCGATTGAAGCCTGGGAAATAGCACGTCCCGCCATAAAATGCTAGGTTGGCGCAGCAAAAGGTGCACAATTGGCACAAAGGGAATGAGTTACATTCTCTCGGACCTACCTAGGCTAGGTTTGCAAGGGAAGGCCCAACGTGTAGTTTCTCTGAGTGAATGAAGAACAACCTGATGCACCGTTTTAAGAGGCATGTGTCAAATGCCTTTTCACATGTTACACAATGAACAGAAGCAGCAACCAACATGCTGGTGCTGCAAGGAAATGCTTCCGTCCAATGCGTCTCATCCCCACACGTGCTGCGCAGCGCAGCAAGAATAGCTGTGATCCCATGTATTTGTGGCGCGAGCTGATCCAAACGCACACGCTACTAGCGGTTTGGACACGGCTTGAAGAAACGGGTCAACGAACTTTGCGGCAACAAGCAGCCGAAAAGCGCTAGTAAGTATCAAGTCAGCCGACTGGAGTAGTCCAACAAGGCGACCTCGCAAAGACTCAGGGCGGCAAACAGTTCCGTGCAGGTTTGCTCCAGCCCAAGACCAGGATCTCAACCACAATTGCGGCAAGTAGAGTGACAAAATGCCTGAGTGATCAAACGGTTTCGTCAGCATAGCAGAAAGACCATCAACCGGGCAGGAGCTTTGTTCAATTCCAATCAATCTTCGTAGACTCTAAAAGGTGAAATATGGAACACTCAGGGAAACTGCCACCCTATTACTTGCTAAACGAGAAAGAACTCCAGCTTATATAGCCCGTCTACCCTTCATGATGAATCTAACAGCGCTGATCACGATGAGAGAGCTCATATTCTTACGTGCTTTGCAATGATGTCAAATGTGTGGTCCCTTATGAAGATTGGTGAATCTTGCCGGAACCAGGCCTCGTCTGTCGTAGCAGTGCCAGACCGCTGCTTCACATCCTCCACCTGGCAGAGCCTTTACTAACAACATTTTCAAATTCTTTAGGAATTGCTTTTAATACTTCGTCTGCTAAATAACCTATATGAGTTTTACCGTCATCATTTCTATCGTGTCTCTTAAACTTCTTCGGTTTAAATTTCTTAATGATATTCATACAATTAGATTTGATATTGTCTATATCATATTTCAATTGTGAATCAGATGAGTCCACAAATGTTCCGTTAATCGTTACGGTTGTTGCTGTTAAATCTATATTTGTCCCTGTTGCTGGCTCAATTAAGTTACATAACAATTTTTTCGTTCCTGCAACTGTTACATTTTCGTTAAAAGTTGATGGAGCATTATTTGTAAAACTTTCAGTATTTACTGTTGTTCCAAATGTCTTATCAATAGATAATAAAACTGAAGGTGTAGTTGAACTATCTGAAACTCTAAAAGCTGTGTTTGATGTTCTAGAAACCTGATACGTCCTCTCTCCGACAAACAGGAGCCTCTGCCCAGCCATCCTGGCACGTGCAAATACGACATGGTAAATGAAGAGGGACCAAAGCAATATCTGATGCTCCAATCAGCCGGCAGTCCTCCTCCTCGTGCATTCGAACCCTGGCTATGACTGCTGGCTCTGGCGGAGTTGGCCTCAGACCGTCGTCGACAAAGTTGACTGGTGTTTGACTATTAAACTTACTAAACCTTGAGGTGTACATATACACGATGTGTTTCGTTTTGACCCTTGGTCAGGAATCTTTACCAAGCGCGGCACTGTCCACGAAATCGCCTGAAAACCATAATGTCCTCCTTCGCACAGGAAGCAATGAGGCATCAAATCGTGTAACCTGTTTATCCTACATGTCTCTTGCAAACAAGCGGAAGACCGTTTGATGACCCCGCAAAATTCCCGGCAGGGAAGAAGGCATGCACCGCGCAATCGGCCTCAGCACTGCCGCCACACCGATAATCAGAGTTGCCCGGGCACTCTGCTGAATGTTTGAGCCATTGGCAGTTGTTCGCGCGCTACCCAAACTGTGGCAGTGCTCATGTCTGGCAGTATGGCTTTTAAACTGTTATCATTATGTTGTAAAAATTGCATTTCACAATGCATTGCCAGTTCGCTGTTTGTCCGCCACTGCCTGGCAGGCCGGATGACAGGGCATTCGCGCGCCACGCAATCTTGCGATCAATCAAAACAATCCCAAGGGTCGCCTCGGTACCAGTTTCCTGGAACATCAGCCTTTAAGAATGGCAGGCGCAGTCGCAGCTTTGCAATTCATCACGCTGAGTGACGGGTTTGAAGTTCGACACGATCGCACCAAAGTGGCACGCGTTACTTTGGCATTGGCCAGGTTTTCAAGTTTTGCTCAAAGGATGCGCGGTAAAAAATGATCGTAGGGAACCAGCAACAAAGTACGCCACACCTGTTCTGTCAGCATTTGCCAGGTCAAGTGTTGCTCCGCTTCAGGAATGCACAAAGCCGTTGCGGTCGGGCAAGGAAACCAACCTGGCAATACAAGCTGCACAAGTTTTTAATTTTGTCGCAGCCACCGCTCTTTAGCACCTCAGAAAAGGTTCAAGCTTGCTGCCAAAACCTCGACCATTCAGAAACAAACATCTCACTGTCGCGATTCTCATCTACCTTCGCGAACCAGCAAACCACATACTAAAATGTTTAAGCAATGATGCTATTCCAGCCGACCATCGTGTCTGAAACACGCAAATGCTAAAAAAGGCATACGCGTCCACAAACGTATACTACAATGCTGCTCTAGCCCACCAATAGAACCTTGCCAATAATTGGCCAACAATTTTTCAGCCAGTCATGACCTCAATCGTTGAATATTCGAGGTGCCTTGCCTTCATCAACGTCTCGGCACCTTGCCAGACTGTTGATCTGTTCAAATCGGCGGACGCCTACTCAAATCAAACGAGAAGTTGGCGCACTTGTCCAACAACAATTTTAATCATGGTCCGAACAAGAGGCTAGATCGATACGACCATGTAAAAATCGAACAATACTGCAACGGCACCACGTAATTAAATTGGCCGTTTCTTTAAGCTACAACACCATGGTTGCCCCTTAAACCAATGGGTCGAGATGAATTTGGGATTTTGTCTTTGCTATTTTTTTTTTCCGTCCTGGCTAGTGAAATGCGGTATTTCACAGCATTTTCTTACGAAATGTACGTTTTTTTACGCTAGTCCGTCAACATCATCAGCATCGTTTTCAACTTCCCCCGCATGTCCAGCCAACCACCAGCAAATCGAGGGCCTTGGCTTCCTACATCCTCAGCATCATCAGTTCCTCTCCGGCAAGGAAGGTAGGCATTTACGTATGCATGTTAAAAAGCAGCGGGGGTTTTTCTCATGATGGCAAAAGTGATTCGCAATTTAACACCTAAAAAGTAGTGGGGAGGTTTGGGGGGCCCCCCCATGATGTTTGAAGAAGTGGTGATTCAATTAGGGGTGCATGTTAATCTCATATGTCCAAAAGTCGCGGGGGGTTTGGGGGGGGAAGACCCACTGCCAGGGGTACCGTGTCCCCGAAGGGAGCAGGTACCTTGTGGTAGTAGAGAATGTATTGGTAGGTCCCCGCATCTATTCTGCAAGAGGGTCCAATATGCCAACAAGACATTTCATCCGCGACAGAAATAGGATGAAGTAATTTTCGATATGGCTACGGCAAGCACACCATAAGTATGGCTACGGCTAAAGGCCATGAAGCCAAGAATGCCATTTTGGTGTTCAAGGTCGAAAGAGATTGTGTGTGCTTTGTGTTGCTTTTGCTTTGGAATTGACTTTGCACCACGCATTGCTATTTGGCTCAAGGCCCTATCTTGTAGTATAGTTGCATTCGTCCTGCAGCCATTGCAAAAGGACCTAGCAGAGCGCCTTGCGGACATAAACCCACAATCAGGACCAGACACTTCCATTCTCAGTTCCTCCACGATTGGCATATTGGACTCTCTTGCAGAATAGATCCGGGGACCTACCAATACATTCTCCACTGCCACAAGGTACCTCCTCCCTTCGGGGATACGGTACCCCTGGCAGTCACAGGCATGGACAAGGCACCGGGACGCATTTCCCCTCAGCGACAACCTCATTGCACAGTTTTTCATAATCCAAAGTGAATTGTCAGATCAGCAAAGAGAAAGACTGATCAGTGCAATGTCATTGAGAAACATCTCGCTTGAGAATTACATCTACGAGATAATAAAAACGCAGTACCACGACCTCTTCATCACGACCAGAACATCCATCCAAGATCCGTCCATCCGGCCATCCGGAGGAAACCGAAGCAACACCTTCTGCATTCTCGAACAAGGAGAATACGAAGGAGACGAAGGCTTTTGGGTGGAAGACGAAGAAGGACAAGAATGTTTCATGTCAACCAACGATGAGGAGACTTTTTGGGTACTGGAGGAGAACGATGCGTTCATTGCGAGAAAGGTGTCTGGGCGAAATTTCAGATTCAAGAAGAGAAAAGGAAAAGGAAAATCTGCAAGCAAAAAGGGCAGTCACCAACGAGGTGGCTTCAAACCCTTTCGAAAAGGTAGCTCTGGCGGGAAGGCCAATATGGCCAGTAAAAATCAGGATCCCTACGACCAGGCATATTGGGGACAGGAAAGAAGGGAAAGAAAGGAAAATCAAAATTCCAATATCCCTATGATGGAAACAAAGGTTATCTATCCTATGACAATGGCAAAGGAAAAGGCGGACAAGAAACAGGAAAATCCAAGACGTTTGCAGCCATCGCAGAGAAGACGGAGGAGCAGCCCGCCATTCAGCCGACTGCACCATCGACAGAGCCTACATATGCCGGTTGGACAGATCAGGATTGGGATCCATCCTGGAATTGGAGTGAAGGCTGGTACTCATCCCATTACTCATCCAGCACAGCACAAGCGATGATGGCATTCCATGACGCATATGAGCAGCATGAGAAGGACGCCATCCGTGAGAAGCTGATCCAAGCCGATGCAGTTCTGAACAGCCAATGACGGCGACAGCAAAACAAAGCATTTTGGCAACAATCCGACCTTTGCGATCCTGGACAACGGATGTACCAGATCCATGGGCTTCTGGCGTGCAATCCAGAGTTTTACCCAAGCCATCGAACCTATGAAAAACCTCATCTCCTACTCGTACATCCCGGCCGAGACCAAGTTCACTTTTGCAAATGGAGAGACAGCCAAGGTAAACTGGACCTTGCGCCTCAGGTATCATACGACACCCCCATGCAGCACCAACATCAACATCCTTGAACAAGGAACTGTACCGATCCTCCTGAGCATTGGTCAGATGCGGAACCTGTACATGACCATCGAGCACACCTCAATGTGACAAGATCACGTGTAAGGCTTTTGGCATGAACCGTGAAGCAGTTCCGGTATCCGGCACAGGACACACTCGTCGATCTTGCAAGAGTGAAATCCCATGGAGAGATTGCCATCAAAGGCCTCACCAACTATGTTTACGATGATGATGACAGCATCCAATTCCCTTCGAGGGAACACTCAGTGAGTGAACAAGTCTGTGCATCCAAGGAAACCGAAGCGAAAGAAGAGACAGGGACTCCCAAAAGGTTCTCTCAAGCAGGATCACTGGACACCCGACAAGAAGCACAAGCAGCTCATCCGTGCGCACATCACGCCGACGGGGACAAAGGAGTGTCCGGATAATCCTGACAACATCAGCCGAGAGCGTACAACGGAAATCATTGATGCATCCGAAGGTGGGGATCCAGAAATCCTTGAAGACAATTGGAGACTTACATCCCAGGCGAACAAACCATTGATCAACCTGTGGACGGGTAAGACCATTTTCACCTTCGGGGATGACTCGCTGAAAGACAATGAATCCGGTTCAGGATCGGCAGCAGACAGGATCATCGACAAGAAGGGCCAGTCGACTATTGAGCCAGATCCTGCAACGCCATCCAGAGAAGAACCTACTTCACTTCCGCTTGCCTTAGGCAGAATTCGTCAGCGATTGTCCAAACCAGAACAGCTGAAAAAGCTCCATCTTCAGCATCAACAGACCAATTTCGATTCAGGACTCGTGCGCTTCACTTACCAAAATCAATCTACGATCTATTTGACAAGATCAGAAGTGAGTGCGAAGTTTGCCAAGCAGCAAAACACGCACCTTCACGAAGCAACACGAGTGGACTTTGAGCGGACACATTCGGAGACATGACATTCATTGATCGCTGTCAGGTTCCTCTTGGAACTGGAAAACATATTAGGATGGATCTTCAACATTGCTCGCCGCCGAGGCAGTGACAACTACGCAAGAAGCCGAGAACATCACTGTCCTCAGGAACTACTTTGACCAGTACCACCTGCAGCCAAAATCAATTGTCGGCGATCAAGCCTTCATGACGGAGACATGGGAACATTTCTACCAGTCCCTCAACATTACCGATATCTCTGGCACCAAACACACCATGGCCAAATCGAGCTGAAGCAGCAGTACCCAAATTCTGTTCAGCTGATCTGGTTGCCGGAAGGCTATGACGGCATTTTCCGGAGGTGAGTTGATATAGGCATGTTGATGCCAACCGTGTGGACATATGCCGTACATGCATCGTACTGTGTGGATGAGATGCACAATCGCCTCAACTTCTTTGACATCATTCAGGATTTTGTTTGAAAACGTCGATTTCAGGTTCCTGAAGGGTACTGAAACTTCTGAATTAGGTGACTGTTGATGACAAATGGCGGAACATTCTTGTTGAACGGGAGGTCCTGGATTCTAACAGCGTAGTCATGTTGAACTCCTTGTCGATCGCAGCCATCTCCTGTCGAAGAATATCTACCTGCTTGTCGGCGAACGGCTCAAAGATATCCTCAAGAAGGTACACTTCATTGTCAAGCGAAGAAGGTACACTTCATTGTCAAGCGGTTTCACCTTCAGGTGACGCAGGATGGTGCGCGCAAGATCTTAGCAGAGCTGGTGAGGATATACCTGTGCCAGTTTAGCTCTGCTTCCGTAAGTGCCGGCATTTCCTCGAGGG